TTCATTTCGACAGATAAGCGAAATGTGGCAACATAAAAAGAATGTTTGTGGATATCGACTTGCTAATGAAATGTGATTACTGTGAAGAAGGAAGCTCAGGGGCCTAGAAGTATGCTTGAATTAGGTCATTGGAGATCTAGTGAGTCCTAGATTGGCCAGTACTATCCAGGACCTGATCTTGTTTAGTGAGATCAAAAAAGTTGGGTCCCTAACATCGGATTCCTAGCACCACCGGATTTACTAAAAGATTTCGGCGCAATACCTTGTCGAGGGCTTTACTGAAGTCGAAAAAATCTAACTATCACTACAGGGAGGGTTGCTGAACTTAATAAAGTACGAGGAAGGGTATAACGAGATCTTTCAGCTAGAAGGCCATGCTAAGTAGATATCCGAAGGTGATTGGTCAAGCGGAAATCAACAATTCTGTTGAAGTTCGGTAAATATTCCCATGATTAACTTGAAAAGTCAATTTATTAGGCAAACATGTTTTTCGGCAATTCATCGTCAATAATTGTCCTAGGTGGGCGCCTATTGGCGCCTATTTGTACAAGTTCAAATGTTCATTGTTTTGCAAAGTTAAGGGCCTGACGAAGAATTGCCGAAAAACATGTTGGCCTAATGAACTGACTTTTTCAAATTCTGTTGAAAGTTTTTATTTCAAGAGGGTTTGCTGAAAATGATCTATTGTGTATGTATTGATAATTTGAATAGTCAATTTGTCAGGCAAAACATGCTTTTCGGCAACTCTTCTTCAGGGCCTTAACTTTGCAAACAAAGAAATTTTGAACATGTACAAAGATCAATAATTTCTGAGTTGTGCGCCAATTGGCCATTGCGGACTTTTTTTCAGTCTGCGCAAATGGTCGGCATGTTGTTTGGGCGACCGCCGCTCTTGGCTGGGGGTGATATGTTATCGTCTTCCGGCGTCGGTGTCGGCCACGGGAGGGATAGGGCTTGTGTTAGAGTTTTTTGGCAGCACAATACTGGATTCATTAGGCGTATAGCCACTGCTTCTGCTGTTGCCAGACCGAGCTGCTGACTTGCGTAGCGTCAAAATCCTGGTTGTACTCGGCTCACTACAAGCATCAGGCCGAGTACAAGGTTGAAGATAAAGGGCGGAAGTCACCAGATAAGGGTTGTCTTGTGCACAGAACCCTATTTTGCTGTCTCAGGCAGCAGTGGCCACTGGCAAAGCCAGGGTTGGTGTTGACTGCGTCCAGTCCTGGCCGAGAGTGTGTGAGAGGTGATGATGACAGCTGCTTTTACATGAGGGTGAAGCGAGTTCAAGTGGTTTGCTATTGGTGTATTGCAATTTTCTGAAGGGAGGTATAGAATGTAAAGGCCCTCTGTTGCGTGGCCGCGGGGTGGCATGCTGAAGTGGCCCTTGAGAAATTGCGACTAGTTGGGCACGCGTGTGTGTGGTTCAGCTGAGGTCAACTGTGGGGGGCGCCGTGCTTGGCGGAACGCCTGTTAGTCAACGTGACTCTCTTGGCCGTCAGGTTGCCAAAGGACAGGGGACCCTGGCGCAGCTGTTATCGCTTAGCCAGAAGCAGCTGCGAAGTCAAGCCTCGAGTGACGGGCGCTGAACGAGGAAGGGGCCAGCATTTGTTGGCCGTCCGCCATACTTGTAGCCCAAAAGGATTATCGGAGTACTGCATATTTTAGGGAGGAATCTACTGCAAAGG